AACCCCCCCCCCCAGTTTGGAGAACCCATCGGGTGTATGGATGTGCTCCACATACGTCTAAATCTATTCTATACAAATATGGTTTGTTAAGCCACAAAAAATGGAACTTATTATCCTACAAATATGGTTTATCATCCCACAAAAATGGTTTATCCTACTACAAATTTTGTTTATTAAACTACAAATTTGGTTTATTTGACTACAAATATGGTTTATTTATGGTTTAAGGGAAAAATGACTTGTGTATTTTTTGTTGATTTAAACAAATAATTTTCATCAGTAGATTAAATCAAGTTAAAAAGTAAAGTTGTGGTTTGGATTAACATCGATACAAAATTTGAAGTAAACAGAGCTAATCCAATGATGAAAAAAAACATAAACTTTAGTTTCATTCAAAAACTGCCATATATGATTTACAACAGCAACCTATAAATCATCATTAAGAACATGTATTTCCTATCTTAAAATTAATAAACCTGAGATGGAATTTAAAGAATTTGAGCCGCGGTTTAAATCTGCCAAAACCTGGTTTAAATTCAGCGCCGGCTTAAATCTTGACACATTTGATACAATTTTAAGTGGAACCAACGATATTTAAATCGCGGCTTAAATTTAAACCGCCGCTCAAATTCTTTAAATTCGACCACAGGCTTGTTCATTTTAAAGAAAAGACAAACTAGATTTTTAGAATATGCATTCAAGAAAAAGAAAACTAATGAATATTTGTAAAATTGAGGATTACTAACCTTGGATTGCTTGTGTTTGTGCATGAAGTAATTGCGGCAATAAGAACTGAACCATGGTTCAAGGTGTACTCCTGACCCTCGTACATAAATGGTACTGTCGTCTTCACCTTGTCAGCTGGAATAGCAAATCCCTGAACAGAAAAAGGCCTACAATGCTATCGAGAAATGCGCGAAATTACTTCCAAAGATTGCTCACTCCCCAATCCCATATTGTTCTATAAAAAAAAACAATTATAAAATCTAAAGAAAGTTTAAAAATTTTATAAAAACATGGAAAAAAAACAATTATTCATTTTTAGGTTAAAACTAGTTTCTGAAGACGACATTTATACAAACCTTAAATCCAATTGGAGACTCCAGACACTTGATGAAATCATCCTTCATCACACTTACAGATACCCTAGGCAAATAAATGGTTCTATTTGATTAAATAAAATTGAAAAATAAATATAATAAATGAATTTAAGTATAGATGTTGAAAAAACAATAGAAATTTAAACTAATTAATATATCACCAAGTGATTTTATAGAACAAATTGATGAATGAATGCATAGCAAATGAAGAAAAAGATTTAGGATTAATAAATGGAAAACATAAGGATAAATGAATTAATGAACAAATGAACGAATAAATAAATCAATACATTGAACAAATGAACCAAAGAACCAATGAACCAATGAAGCAATGAAGCAATGAACCAATGAAGCAATGAACCAATGAACCAATGAACCAATGAACCAATGAACCAATGAACAAATGAATAAATGAATAAATGAACAAATGAACAAATGAACAAATGAACAAATGAAAAAATGAAAAAATGAAAAAATGAAAAAATGAAAAAATGAACAATTGAACAATTGAACAATGAAAAAATGAACAAATGAACAAATGAACAAATTAACAAATTAACAGATTAACAAATTTATAAATAAATGAATATATGAATGAATATTTGAATGAATACATGAATGCATGAATACATAAATGAATGAATATATGATGAATATATGAATGAATAAATGAATAATCTACCTATCATGAGGACGTTTAGGTCCAGAAAGGCTTGGCACTACAGTCCCCAGGTCGAGCTCATGGAGTTCAGAGAACTCGGGATCTTGGGAAACATCTTGGAAATTTCTACACAGCGGGACTATTACAAACTAATGCAGTTATTTCACAAACTATGTTAAAAAAGTTAACTTTAGTTAAAATTTAAATTAATTTATTGGTTAGGGTTGTATTCCCGCATTTCCACAAAATATGTTCGCGGATTTCTTCCAAAACTATTGCGCATTTCTTTAGTTTGAATTTGTTCCTGAGCATCCCAACTGTTGACATGTACTTCTCGATCATCTTGATCTTCTCCTCGGACCGGTTGGTCTGCCTCAAGTACTCCAGGGTCTTCAGGTCCACGGGGAAGAACCCAATAGTGGCTCCTGAACATGACTTATTTAGCCAACCACAGTTACCATACAGTAAGAACCAGAAAGCAGTAGAATTTTCGTCGTCTTCATTTTTATTTTTATTTTGAAATGTCGATTAGAATTTTGTAATTTCCAATTAGACTAACTATTACCAAAAACACAGAAATAGTAAAATTAAATAAGATCCTTGGATACATTTTTTAAGTAAAGGAAAACAAAGACGACACGTATTCAAAAGTTTCTATTTCATCAAAGTATAACTACATTAATGAATAATGACCCTGTCCAAGTCCCAACGGTACATCAAAAATGTATAAGATATTTTTTTAAATAATTATATTTTATTGTGACTTCTCTACAAAAGGGACAAGCATATTTCTTTAGTCGATACAGATACATTATCAATGTTAAACACTTTTAAAGATAAAAAACGACAATTTCTTCCGCATTATTGATCAGATAAATGTTTAGTACCGTATTCGGGACACATGTTGGCAATGGTGGCTCTGTCTGCTATTGAGAGTTTATCCATCCCTGGTCCGTAGAATTCAACAAACTTACCAACCACTCCTACTTGTCTAAATACAGGGGGAGTTAATATACCGTGGTAAACAACATATATTGATACAATATTGTTTACCAACCACTCCTATCCTTGGCTATAAATGTGGGTTACCTAAGGTGCTTAGTGATTGTGAGAACTACATCAGTTGAGGTTACAAGAGGGTTTAAACTTCCTAATAGCAGACAGAGATATTCATAAAGATAAACAAGACGACATTCAAAAAACAAATTGAATTCATTGATATAGTAAAAAGGAAGTTATATTAAATTATTTTATTGCTAATTAATGAAAAGGAATGGGCGGGGTAGGGGGTAGGGGGCATCATAACCCAACCAAACGAATTTACAAAAGAAATTTCGGAAATATAAAAAAGTGTATGCCTTAATTTGTTTTAAATTAAGGCAATAGTTCAGATGTAAAACGATCATCTTGAAAGGGGGTGAGGGGGGAATTAAAATAGAAATACATATCATGAATATTAAATAATGAATATTTCTAGTTTCCTGTGATTTTGTATCCAACAACCTTGGGTAGGGTCATAGATATAGGTTGACCCAGCATAACAGCCTCAGCCTCAATACCTGGTAAAATTTAATAATACAATACTATCAATAATATACAATACAATACTAAGACTGGCCAAAGAATATCCATAAGAATGACTTCAGAATGACCCAAATATAGCTTAAGAATGGCCAAAAATGACCTAAGAATGACCTATGAACGGCCTAAGAACGGCCTAAAATTTACCTAAGAATAGTCTAAGAATGAACTAAGAATGAACAAAGAATGATCTAAAAATGGCCTAAAAATGAGCTAAGAGTGACCATAGAATGGCCTAAAAATGGCCTAATAATGGCCTAATAATGGCCTAATAATGACCTAATAATGACCTAAAAATGACATAAGAATGGCCTAAAAATAATCTAAAAAAAACCTACAAATGACCTAAGAATGGCCTTAAACCTAAAATTGGCCTAAACATAGGTTACCTCCAACTCCCCAGCCAACTACCCCTAATCCATTGATCATTGTTGTGTGACTGTCTGTTCCAACCACACTGTCAGGATACAGAACACCTACAAATTAATAAAAAATTGAAAATAAAAGTTCAGTTATTTTTGAAATTTTAAGAAGAAACTTCTCTAATTTACCCCATTAGCAAAAATTCAATTTTAAATTCGAGCGCAAACATTGAAAAATGATATTACAAAAATAAATTCTTACACTTGGTAAAGTTTTTTTATTGATTAAAAAAGAGTAACTTACCGTTTTCATTGAAGCAGACCCTGGCGAGATATTCCAGGTTCACTTGATGGACTATTCCAGATCCCGGGGGAACTATCAACATGTTCTTAAACGCCTAGATGACATGGAAATAATATCATAGATAAGGATAGATCGGACATGAAATGGCATATTCCAAATGAGCAACATAAACATAGATAAAGATAGGTTAAAAATGCCAGGTTTCCAAGTGAGTAGTTTAAACCATAGATGAGAGAGGATAAAAGACATCATCAATCCACTTGATAAGAAAAAAACCATAGATAAGGATAGATTGGACAGAAGACGTCATCCCTTAAACTATATAGAAGGATATTTAGATTGGACATAAGACGTCATCCCTTAAACCATATAGAAGGATATTTAGATTGGACATAAGACGTCATCCCTTAAACCATAGATAAGGATTGATTGGACATAAAGGACATATTCCAAATGAGCAGAATAAACATAGATAAAAATAGACTGTGCATAAGACAGCTTTTCAGTTGATTAGCCATAGATAAGGATAGACTGGACATAAGACGTCATGTCATTCCTTTAGTTAAGTAGGAAAAAACATAGATACATAATACGACATCTATCCAGGTGAGTAGACTAAATCATAGATAAAGATAGACTTCATCCCTCAATGAAAGTAGAATAAACCATAGAAAGATAGATTGGACATTTCATGGCATCTCTTAAGCTAAGAAGATAAAACCAAAAATAAAGATTAGGACATATATTACATCATCTTTCAAGAGAATTCTTATATTTTAGGTTTTAAGTTCTAACCTTAGCTCCCCATTTTAGGAAGAGAAATCGTTCCTGATTCCTCTCAAACTCAAGTTCTTCGTTCCTGGCCGTTGAGTCAGCTGTTCCAGATACATCAACTTGTACACTAAACATAGGGCTATACAGTACATAGTTGAGTCAGCTGTTCCAGATACATCTACTTGTACACTAAACATAGGGCTATACAGTACATAGTTGAGTCAGCTGTTCCAGATACATCAACTTGTACACTAAACATAGGATTATACAGTACGTAGTTGAGTCAGCTGTCCTAGATACATCAACTGTACACTAAACATAGGGCTTTACAGTGCATAGTTGAGACAGCTGATCCAGATTCCAGATACATCAGCTTGTACACTAAACATAGGGTTAAACAGTACATAGTTGAGCCAGCTGTTCCAGATACATCAACTGTACACTGAACATAGGGCTATACAGTACATAGCTGAGTCAGCTGTTCCAGATACATCAACTGTAAACTGTAAACTAAACTGTACAGTACATAGTTGAGCCAGGTGTTCCAGATAAATGACTTGCAGATTTATGCAGCAGAGCAAGGAAATAGATAAAAAAATTGTTTCTCGGATAAAGATTTAAATGATACCATTGTGAATCGGGCATTAATCTATTAAAGCAGGGAACCCATGACATTACAGTTACAGTCCCTTTAAAAATATTGTTACCTATGATCTATTACCAAATCTGCAGGGCACTGAGGATTGATGTCCGAGGGCTTTCCTCCCAAAGACTAAAACAATTTTATCTTTTAAAAACTTAAAATTCATCATAACCAAGTTAAAACTTATTTCATTAAAAAAGTTATAAGCAAAAAAAATCATAAAAACAATTGATTAATTAATCTATCAATACCTGAACTGCATCTCGCATAGCAGCAAAGTCTACCACGGCGGGGACTCCGGTAAAGTCCTGACAACGAAGAATAATGAATAAAACATTATTCTTACCATTTCACAGACCCTAGCTACAACTTCGACTACTCAACTAAGTGCCGACCCTAATCAGGGGCGTATACAGGAATGTGAGCAGAGGGGGAGGGGAATTNGTGGATCCAGCAGAAACTGGAATAAGTTGTGATAATTTCTTGTTCCAAAAACTGATTTCCCTAAATTCTTCTTGTTTAGCAGACTCATATGTAAAGCTTTCAATGATTAGAAAGATTGGGTTTTCAAGATATTTCATTGGTTGACACTAAAAATGTGCGTTTTAAAGACAACACGTAATTTGGTTGATATATTGCAATAGAACCGGATCCTTGACCTTGACCTTGCTTGACCTTGACCTTAATCCTGATATTGACCGTCACCTTGATCTTGACCTTGACCCTACTTATTTTGACCCTGACTTTGACCTTGATCATGACCTTGACTGTGCCTTTGATGTTGAACTTTACCTTGACCTTGATCCTGACCTCAACCATGACCTTATGACCCTACCTGGAGAAGAACTCGACTGGGTCTGAATGGGACCTCCACTCCTCCCTCAACCATCTAAATTAATTTAAATAATGTTATCAATTTCCAAAAAGTCAAAACTTTTGTGTTATCACGTTGTGAACCTAGGGATCAAGTATTGATCTCCATCTAACGCAGGTCTAATGATCAATTTAATTCCTCTTAAGCAAAGTAATGATCCTCAAATCTGAAAGTGCCCACATTGGATATCGAGATTAAACGTTAAGATTTTAACGATAATCTAGTTTTAATAACCCTAGGACAAATTACCAGCACGCAGCGAAAATTGTTCAATTAAACTTACAAAAAACATTAGAAACTTTTTCTTTGATCTAAAATAATCTAATAGCACAAAGGGAGGTCGATTTTTCAATTTTTTCGCAACATGCATATATGGGTGTCTAAAATTGCGCCTCTAACCACTGAATATTGCCCAGTTGTTGGTTTTTTTGTAAATTGTGAAAAATGGTTGATCTAGGACCAAAACTTATTATTTTATAGGACTATGACAAAGTTCCGCTAAAAAGCCCGTTTTTTTCCCCATAAATTATTCAATTTTCAATTTTCAACAGATTTTTATGATTTTAACTTTTGAGAATTCAGTGTTTCATGACGGATTTGTTGGTACCCATATGGCATATCGACATATTTTGAAAAAAATATATTTTTGCTTGCACAAGTGATTTACTATTTACAAAAACGTGATGCTGAATGAATTTATAAGTGAGAAAACAATTTACATTTTTGTTTTGCTTTTTTATTTTTGAAAGGATCTGAACATTTTTTTTCAAAAAAGTGCCAAATTGTGCCACCCTTAGACTAAATTTAAATTTCTGCATTTTCTTCAGCATATTCGCAACTTATACCAAATGATTTCTTTTCCAGTTTTTTTGTTTGATCAAACTAATGATAAATATAAAAAAAAAAATTTTAAGAAGAAAGTAGTCAAAATAAGAAGTTTTCATCTGTTTGAACTTTCAAACTTTTTATTCTAAAATACCAACATGGCTTACATGAATTGTAAAATATTATATAATCAATTTATTATTCAATCAAAAAAAACATCCTCATACATTGTGCTTCATGGAGAAGTAGGTGTTAATTTTGTAATAATTCAACCAAATCAAATCATTCTATCAACAACTATCTATATTTCTGCGCTATGGTATAGTTAAGATAAGCCTACCCTTACGCTGAGTATCCTCCCTTTCCCTTTCCATCCCCACTCTGTGTAAATTCTATGCGCATGGTATACAATATGGGTATCGATTCTCATTAAATCACATGTTTTAAGCTTGTTTCTGGCATTCATAACACTCTCCGACCTTTACTATCCTCACCACCCACCTTCTGAAGGGTGCACATTTCGTCGTCAAAAAAAAGGCATTTTATACATACAGGGGGAGGGGAGGATAAAAATGACTATTTTTACCTAACAGATGATTCGAGAAGAACCTTTATGGAGAAAGGAAGCTTCGTATAACTCTCTCCTAAAAAAAATAATTTTCTACAAAAAAATACAAAGTTTTGTGAAATTTTTTAATTTACGCAGGTAAACAAGCATGGCTTTGTGTCTTGGGCAGAGGCGTAGTCAGGAGGGGGGGGGGGCTATGGGAGCTAAGCCCCCTGGATCAGTGAAATCTTTGGTTTTTATGGAGTTTTCCTCCCCCTGAAAAAAATTTTAAGCCCTCCCTGGAGAAATTTCTGACTACGCCCCTGGACTCTTGGGGCCTTTTTTTACTCCAGTTTTCATTTTCTCATTATTTATACGTAACTTTAAAGTTGTGCAAAAGAATTTTAAAAATACCATTTCCATTTCCAAAACCTGTATTGTATGTTTAAAAAATAAGATAAACAGCTTAGGACAAAAAGACTTGAATAATGATAATAGAAAGAAGGAAAGCCAAGAAAATGTTCGATTCACAACATTTAAAACTTGATCAGAGTAACAATGAGAAAGATATAATCGTTTTTATTGGTTAGAACGTAGAATTCTGACAATTTTTTACAGTGAGTCTTTGAAGCAGTTACTTTTATAGGATTAAAATATAGATATCTTACTCTTGATTAGAAGCAGGTTTAAACTATTTATATTTTTAGTTTTAACTATTTTGGGGAACCACTGAATAACATAAATACCTAGTGCTTTGAGATCATAATACTGCGCAGTATTCCCCTCCCCTAGATCTAGACTACGCTTCAGATGATCGAACGGATTTACGGACATTTTTCTGAAAAAAAAAATACAATAAATAATAAATAATTATTTTATATACAGGGTAACCCACAAAGGATGAGAATGTAAAGACGACCGACAATTCTTAAAATGCGAGTATCCCAAGGTTAAATTAAGTTTTTTGCCTTAGATATAGTTATCTAATAGCTTATTTAGATAGATAGATATTTATCATTAAAGTACATAATTTTGAATAGATATGTTCTTTAAACTAACACTTTAATGACGGGATTTGCCAAGCCAACATTGGCCGTCTTTAATGGCAAACCCGGATGTTATTGTATGATATAATTTTAAATCATACAATTGGAGGTGTTAGGTCCAATAGGTATAGGGGAAAGTATTAGGAAGAGAGGGG